CAGTTTACATTTCTGGAAGATCTAATTCTGATATATTATCTTATCACTAATTATTTTGACTTCATTTTTTCATAAAGATTTCCTTCATCAGAGCATTCCTCACTAGCTCTTTTAAGCATGAAATTGTATAAGAAAATATAAGCCATCAGTTGTTTCTAATTTAAAAAATAAATTGAATGACCTATATGAAAAGATGGTTATTACCACAAGATTGCTTCACATCTCTCAGGGAGGTTCCAGAAAGCCTACATGAAGTACATCTGTCTTATAAACAAACTTCATTGGTAACAATATCCAGTTCATTGGCTTACACCTTGAAGATGTTTTGGTTGAACATGGAAACCACTGTTTTGAATGCCAGAGATAACTGTATTGAAACATTGCCTTAATGCAAGAGGATAAAAGCTGTGAAGGATTTCATCTTACAGGTTCTCATGTCAGAAAATCTCATACTTTTTTTATGCCTGAGCTGGTAGTCTGCTTTTGCCCGGGAATTGTGGGCGGAGCCTACTGCATGACTTACAAGACCCGAATAGCCCATGTTCAAAATTAGGATGGAAAACTGCAGTCAAAGGTACTAAAATAAAGGATTTTTCTTTATAAGTATTATCCTACTTATAAAACCTATCTAGTAACAGTGATATATGAATAATAATATAAACCCGCAGGTAGCAAAAAAAAAAAAAACCTACATTTTGATGTCTTAATTTTATATAGCGTAATAAATAAAAAGCTTTATTAAGGTGATAACTTGATCAAATATTTTTCTGATTCCTCAAAAGCATTTATTAGATCATCAAAATGTGTACTTTTACCAAGTTTAAGTGATATAATTAAAAGCAAATCAATCACACTTAGTAAAGGAAAGATGACACATAATTTTTGGCAATTTTTCATTCTGAGAAGAATGCTGATACAACTAACACTGGAGTCCTTAAGGATATTTTATAAGCAATGACAACATTGATAGATTTTTTTCTTAGTAAACTTTTGTGGAAGTAACACTGATTTATAAGTTTCAGGTATGCAACATTGTAATTCCACACGAGCACCCTACATCATGATCACTACCAAGTCTAGTTTCCATCCATCACTGTACAATTGACCCTTGTTACCCATACCCATTTCATCCACCCTCCAATCCCTTTCCTCTGCTTTGGCGTTGTTTCTTTATATTCCATATGAGTAAAATCACATATTTGCCTTTGTCCATCTAACTAGCATAATACCCTTGAGGTCCATCTGTTTTGACACATACAGCAAAAATTCATCATTTTTATTTTTTAAAAGATATATTTATGTATACAGAACTGGGGTACAGGGCAGAGGCAAAGATGCAGTGAGAGGCTTCATCAGAGACAGAGTGGGGAGCAGAACAGGCAGATCAACGAAGTACACTGCTGAGGGGAGCAACAGGAGGGTCAGGAGAGGTCTGCCACGCCATGCGGGTCACCTCCGGGGCGGGTTTCAAACTCATGCTGAAGTGACTTTAGCTTCTTAGTGCTGTGCTTTAACCCGCTGCGCCACCAGGGAGGGCCCCAAATTTATCTTTTTTAATAGCTGAGTAGTGTTCTATTACGTTTATATCCCACATTATCTCTATCCATTTAGGTTGTTTTCAGATCTTGGCCATTTTAAGCAATGGTGTGAGGACCATAGGTGTGCATATCGTTGTGTTTTTATATTCTTCAGATAAATACCCAAAAGTGGGATAGATCGATCATATGGTATTTCTTTTTTAATTTTGTAAAGAACCTACTTTCTCTTTTCCAGAGTGACTGCACCTACTTGCATTACCACCAACACTGTAGCAAGATTCATTTTTCTCTGCTTCCTTGCCAACACTTTGTTGTCTCTTTTTTTTTTATAATAATCATTGTAGTGGGTGTGAGGTAATATCTCCTTGTTTTGATTTGCATTTCCATAATAATAAATAATGAACATCTTTTCACCATCTGTAGTATGTCTCTGGGTGAAATGTCTTTTTGAATCCTCTGCTTATTTTGTTGTTGAGTTGTTTTTTTTTTTAAAGATTGATTTATTTGTGCATACAGAACTGGGGTACAGGCCAGAGGCTCAGGGACAGCGAGAGGCTTCGCCAGAGACAGTGTGGGGAGCAGAACAGGCAGATCGACGAAGTACACTGCTGAGGGGAGCAGCGGGCGGGTCAGGAGAGGTCTGCCACACCATGTGGTTACCTCTGGGGCAGGCGGGAATGAAACTCATGCAGAAGTGGCTTTAGCTTCTCAGTGCTGTGCTTTAACCCACTGCGCCATCAGGGAGGGCCTTGTTGTTGAGTTTTTATAAGGTTTGTATATATTTGAGACACTAACCTCTTACCAGATGCGTGATTTGGAAATATCTTCCACTGTTCAGTAATCACTTTGTCGTTGTGACAATGGTCTCTTCCACAGTGCAGAAACTTAGTAGTTTAATGTAATTCCATCTGTTTATTTTTGCTTTTGATTTTCTTGCCTTTTGAGTTCCACCCACCAAGACATGTCGATACTGAGAAGCAGTAAACATGTCGATACTGAGAAGCTTACTGCCTATGCTTTCTTTCCTCTATTTGTTTTATGGTTTCAATTCTTACATTCAAGTCTTTAATTCACCCTGAATTAAATTTGTATATGCTAGAAGACAGCAGTCTAGTTGTGTTCATGTGCCACATCATCTTATCCATTTAGGTTGTTTTCAGATCTTGGCCATTTTAAGTGAAAGCGTGAGGAGCATAGGTATTTTATTCCTTTGTATATGACTGTCTAGTTTTTCCCACACCGTTTATTAGGAGACTTTCCTTTCCCTTTTGTATACTTTTGGCTCCTTTGTTGGTTGAAATTAGGTGTCTACAGAATAGATTTCCGATCAGTTACTTCAAAATGTAAATTTAGTGTATCTGTAGTTGACAATTATTATGAAATGTTTCTTAAAAGATGTATCTTTAGGCCCTCCCTGGTGGCGCAGCGGGTTAAAGCACAGCACTAAGAAGCTAAAGCCACTTCCGCATGTGTTCAATTCCCGCCTGCCCCGGAGGTGACCCACATGGCACGGCAGACCTCTCCTACCCACCTGCTGCTCCCCTCAGCAGTGTACTTCGTCAGTCTGCCTGTTCTGCTCCCCACTCTGTCTCTGGTGAAGCCTCTCGCTGCCCCTGAACCTCTGGCCTGTACCCCAGTTCTGTATGCACAAATAAATAAATCTTAAAAAAAATAAAAGATTTATCTTTACACATATTAGTTTTGTGTATGTTGAATTTCATTTTAAATATGAATGTATACAATGTCATTTTAATGTTTTCTCAAGTGTATCCTTTAACTTGCAGAGATCAAACAAGAAAGTAGCACTTAATGATTTCTATATAATTCAGAATGCCTATATATGCTTTCTATTACTGTAGCTTCAGTGATAAAAAAAATAATTTTAATACTGTATTTCTCATTAACTGGTTCACTTAATGGTGCATGTTAAAACATTGTTCCTTCTATCAAAATCAACAATCTTTACATTTAATTTTGCTTTGTAAGCCTGTGGGTATTTACTTCCCAGTGGGTTGCCAGTTTCTTAAACTGAATATCCAAAATTCTTTAAAGAAGCCTATTATTTCTTTGATGCACTTTATTGCAATTTCCTTGTATATCCTTTTATTTTGTAATAACTTACTGATACGTATTGTCTACATATTAGCAGTTCTTGTCCTAGTACTCAGACCTGAAAACTAATACTTCTGCTTAGGATACAGGCTGTAGGAAGACAGACAAGCCAGCCTGTCACTATTGCCACCACCAGCACCATTGCTTACTTGGGCTTCAATCCTAGCCCCAGTCACGCCCCTGGGGCCCAGCAGCACTCAAAACTGCTTCTGCCATGAATTTGCGCACGAGGCAAACAAGACAGCTTTTTGGCACACACACTGCCCTTTGCCACTGTGCCTGCAGGCCTGGACTGAGTCTACACAGGCATGCCAGCATTTATTTTCTGCTTATATACATGTTCCAATGTACCAGCAGAATATATTTATAAAATTCAAGGTCAAATATAAGATCACTAAGAATTTCAAGATGGCAGCAATAGAGCAATAAACCAAGTCAAGGACCTATACAGCTACACAGGTAACACACACCCTACATGAGCCTTGATCACATAACCTTAGAAGTTACTAATCCCTGGAGTAAATGGACACAGAGGCAGAAGCATTTACATCTTTGAGTTACCACTCTAGGAAAGGTATCATGAACCATAGATAAAGGTGTTGGTGACTATAATTAGTTTCCTTGCTGGTAAGCTGCTTCAAGCTTATCCATTTTGATAAAAATGCTCAACACCAAGGGTCTTTGGGGGAGATCTCTTTATAGATTCAGATGAGGGTTTCTTTCTCTAGATTCTAGAGAAAGTGAGAATAGGATAGCAGGAAGAAAATAGTATTTATTGAATACTTATTATCTGTTAATTTATACCAACAGATTAATTTCATCTAGCAAGAATTCTGGTAGTCCCTTGTGCTTGAGATACTGAACTGAAAAATTAAATAACTTTCCCTATATATTACTATATATTACATAGCTTGCAAATGTAAAGACTAAAACCAAGTCTCTTTGATTGTACACTCTGAAAAACAGCTTCAGCGCTCTGTGTGGGTTCAAAGCCTGATTCTGCCATGGCATGCCTTAATGTTAGCTGAATCTGTTTCCTCATGTATATAATGGGGAAGAGACAAGCACAGTACCTAAATATAGGCATAGGATCAGTGCCAGGCAGTAAGCCTATAATAAATGTTTTATGCTAAGGTTTTTATTAGCAGGTTAGAGAGAACATTACTTACAGAAAAAGGAACTTACAGAGAGTAGGAACCTCTGTTGTTTACCCTAAAAGGCCCTTTTGGCACTTGATGTGATCTCTGAGCTGACACTTGCCTGGAGCAGCCTGTCTGGTCTGGATGGACGTCTTGAATTTTAATGTCCCACTAGTCTGATCATTTTCTATCTGGATTGTGTGTGTTACAGGTATGAAACATCTCTGTTGGATTTGGTTCAATCTCTGAGCCCAAAATCTGCTCTCAAACCTCAGCTTCTTCCCTCCAGACAAGCTGGGGCCTGGAATCATGGTACTTGCCAACCCAGATCTCTCAAATCAACCTGGAACAAGATGGGGGTAGGCAAGACCCCCGAAGACCTGGAGGAGAATCAAATTCTGGAAGATATCTTTTTCATTTGACACTGACGTTTAGGCCACAACCATCTGAAATGTATGAATTTTTTATATAGTGATCCAGGATTTTAAATTATTTGATTGCAAAGTAATTGTGTCTCTCCTTTCACAGGGACTTATCTCACTAGCATCCTATTAGATAATGAATATGTAAATAACTCTAGCAGCCTCTGGGGTATTTTGATCAGACCAATCAGTAGATGACCCATTAAGGGGGTGTGGTGAGGGCAGGATCTTTCCTATGCCAAGTAGAGGTAGAAAACTAACCTAGGGCTCTTTCTGCAGGGTGGAGGCCCATGGACATTCTGCCTCAAGAGTATTTTCTTGTCAGTATTTTGCTGGAAAAGGTGGGTTCTCTTTTGTACATAAGGAAAAGCTTTATACTAAACGACCTCTCTCATTTAAACATACCCCTTGTATAACAAACGCAATTTCAGAACAGACCCTTTTACCTCCACCCTGTTCTCACACCACCCACCTCTCCTTCACTGTAGCTGCTTAATTCTAAAGTTAGAGCTGGGCCCCTACCACCGTAAGTAACACCCACTGTGGGTCAGAGTCAGTAATCATTGGCCACCTGTCATATACCCAGAAGGCATCCCAGCCACCCCTCGGAACTGGCATTGCATAACACTACCCAGTGTATGTCCTTGGAAAGTCCAGTGGAGGCACAAGCCTGCAACACTGTTCTATCATCTCCCACTTCCAAGACGAGAAGAGCCATCTCTTGATGTTTTTATTACCCATGTGTCTGTTTTTTCCATCCTGTGTACTTCCCATGTCTGTGTCCATGGCAGACGCCACTAGGGAGAGTTGTAACCAGCTTCTGTAACCCAGCAGTCTTTTCTGGGTGCCCTCTCACTCCATGAGGCTCAAAGGCCCTGGGTCGGCCAGCCTGCAATGAGCTCTGCTCAGAGCCACTGCCCCGCTGCTCCAAAGAACCATCTGTACTTGCCAGGTTATGTTCCACCATCTGCCAGGTTCCCCCCTTTCCCACTGGGCTTCCCTGTGCCTGAAGAAAGCCATGGTAGAAATACAACTGAGGCCCATTCTCTCTCTGTTCTCCTGAACTCTTGAAATGGGTTCTTCAGTTTACAGTGGGCTCTAGTGACCCCTCAAATTGGTAGAGTATGATGAGCCTACTTGAACCAGTGAGTTTCAGACTTTTCAGCCTTGGAAAGTGAAGGAACAATGTGTCTCCAGTTAGCTCTTGATGACTTTGATATGGCAGATGTTGCTTTTTTTTTCTCTCTTACCAGTCTCAGATTTGAACTGGGACTAGTATTCTTTGTCAAGTCAATAGTGGAAGCCACGATCAGACCACCCAGACCATCCTGCACTTAGTGAACCTTCATGGCTGCCCTAAATTCTATATTAAAATGATTATTTCAGCCTACAAAATCCTGTCTGAGCGGCAACCTTGTCTGGACAGATGTAAATCTCATGGTCAGTTTGGGGCCCTGCCACTTCCTCCCAGTATTGCTCTTGGGTCTTTTTGTTCTGTGGAGGAGAGAAGAATAGACCCTACCAATACCATATTCTTCATCTGAAGTAAATAGAAGGATACAAGTAACTCGTTGTGGTTATTAACTTAAAAAGTGGAAAGCTGTTGCAGATGATAGTAGCCTTTTCAAGTTCACCCCTGTGAGAGTAACTATAAATTACATTCATCCCATTTCAGAAAGCCTTTGGAAAATAAGGCTTTCCTTGGTGTAACTCAAGTGGGTGCAAGCAAACTGAGCACCCTCATGTTTCTCAGTTAAGTTCCCAGCGCTATCTTTCCTTTGCCTCATGTGTTATAAACATGTGAAGTCCGTGCAACTCCCTTAGCTCATCTATAGCTGTCCGTAACTGACTACTCTGAAAGCCAGTGCCCTTACTTCTCTCCAGCGTAAGAGGATGCTGGGAAGACCAAGAGATATGATGATTTCTTCAAGAAGCTTGTTTGCCTCTAGAAGAATCATAAACAAGATCTAAACTAAAGGCTCTTTGGAATCACATGCTGTAGCATAGAGTTTAAAGGCTTCTTTACCTCCCCCTAAATAAGCAATTTGAAAGAGCAAAGATGAATTTTCAACAGAATGCCAGTCAACATGTTTTTTACTTGCCACATTGCCTTACCAGTTTCTTTTCTCTATCCTGTGGGTGTCAGAATAATTGGCTATGAATCTGTGTTCAATCTAACATCTTCATTAGGAACTGAACTGTATATGTGGACATTTTAATCTGTGTCATACTTGGAGATATATATATAGAGGTATATATAGAAGAGAGAGAGAGATGAATGAAAAGGTCCTGGTAGTGCCTGGAGGCTGTTGTAGAGCCTGCAGACTTAACCTAATTGCAGACTAAGCTACCAATAAAGAGAGAGAGGGTCTGGCACAAAGGAATTTGCCTTTCCTTCTGTGCAGTGTGCTCTCTAGTGGTTGCTTTCTCAAAGCAAGCCTGGACACAAAATGGTGTGGCATGTAGTGCTGTAACACCCACCCTGTGAGAAATAAATCAGTGTTCACAAAATGGAAAAGGACGAGGTCTGTCCCCTGAAGTGCCCTAAGTAGGCCTAAAGTGCTTGATTTCGAAAACTAAGGTTGATCAAGGAAAAGCTTTTTCTGACAGTCACCCTTCTAGGAGACATGTTTGTATTTGCCCCATCCTGTTCTCCATGGAGAACTTCCCTGGAGCACCCCAAGGAACTCTGCCACTGTTTTCTCTGGGCCCTGCCAACACGATGGTTCATCAGGGAGATCGACTAGTAAGAGAATCTGGAAAGGGCCAAGCCTGAAGGCACAGGGCCAGCTAAAGTCTGTGATCGCTAGGGAGATGGAGGCTACAACAGACTTCCCCCAGCTCACACTTCATCCTCCCCTCAGTATGCACTGCTTTAATGTGGGCAACTGTTTATACATGTGCAAGATTTTAAGTTAATAAATTATGTCTACGGCTATCTCCCCCATGTGGTTTTCATATTGACTTGTCCTTTGAACATCGGTCACCTGATCAGTGCGGCATAACTTGAAAGTAAAAGCTGAGCTCAGGTTATCAGACTATTTTCCTCAGTACCTGTTAAATCATAAGAGCTTGCGTTCAACTGAAAGAAAGGATATGGTTTGTCACATCCTACTAGTTTTTCCTGACTAACTCCCATTCACTCCCATCACCTGGATACCAAGCCGCCTCTAGGTTGTGTGACGGCCAAAGTGGAAAATTTAACCTGCTGAGTTCCTTTCATGTGTTTGTCCTCAAAACTGCTCAGCCAGAAAGAAATACCACAGCACTTTGAAAAATTAAAAAAAAAAAAAAACGGTCTGTCTAGTTGACTTTAGGGTTGGGAGAATGGAGGTAAAGGCTTGAGTGCCTGAAATGCCCAGTTCTGAGATCACACCTGTGGATGCAACTAAGCCAGCCTCTCCTGACCTCAAGCTGGTCAGTAGCTGAGCAAAATTTGCAGGTGTCTCTCAGAGCAGAGATGGCAGGGATAGAACCATCGCTCAACTAGACCCCAAGCTAACAATGTGTAATGTTTGTCCCGGTTGCCATAAGGTTATCTTTGAGTCAAAAAGAACATAGCTAGAGATGACTGTTGGGTTGAGGGTTCACAGAGGAAGAATGACCTGACTAGAGAACCAGTTTCATAGGTAAGTAACCAGTGACATAGTTTCTCAGTCAGTTTCAGCATGTTGTTCCTAGGGCACTATGGCTCCATTTCACTCAGGACTGTCTGACTACTCAGGCTTTAATAATTGCTCTAGCTAAGAACTCTTCTGAAAAGAATGTGTCCAAAATGAGGTGAGGCTTATTAGGTTCCAGTGGGAAGGAAGGAGGGAATGGTAGATATACTAGTAAAACCAGAAGGCATAGACAGGTACCTGGAGTTTGGTAGGGATGACCTAGATCACATGTTGCCAGAGAGGCAGCCAGTACCTTTTCTATGACCTGTCAAAGCCCGAGGTGTGCCCTTGGCCAGCTAAGTGCCTCCCTTGAGTGTCCAGCATTGCATAAAATGTTGATGTAGGGAAGCGGCTAACAACTTGATTTATGACAGCAAATAGACTGTGGTTAAGAGTTAAGATCCCAGTTACACTGCTTGCTGGCTGCATGATCTTAGGCAACACATTTATCACACTGAACTTTTAAGTTTCTTACTCTATAAAATAGTCATGTGGGTGAAGTTCAATGAGATACTGTATGTGAAGGATCTGGGTATATTATGTCACATGCAGAGTGCCCCACTGCTGAAAACAAGCTATATTACCAGTTATTCCTCAGTAAATTCACAAACTACACAGAAGATGAACCTGCATTCTTAAAAGTCTTTAATAATAATTAAAATAAGAGTCATCACAGTAAATTTCCCAGTGACTGGTAGGAAGTCGTAAATGCAGTGGTTTCAGGGAAGCAAATTGCTAGGCTAAGTTTACTTTGGCTTCATGGGAGGAGAGGATGGAGGAGGCTTTGAATGAGCATCTAAGACAGAGTGGCAGGGGGCGTGAGGATGAGAACGTGCAGCACCTGAGTGTCCACTGATAGGCGAGCACAGGTGTGTTTTGAAAGGATGGGCTCATGGCTCATAGGTGAAGCTCTAGAAGAGAAGATGTGGTAATGAGCTGAGGGAAATGTGTTTGGTCCAATTTGTGAAGAATATTAAGTGTCAGGCAATGGGGTTCTACTGCTCAAGAAGTGGAAAACCATAGGCTGTTTTGAAACTACTTGTTTAGAAATATCTACCTAGCAGTGTTGTCAGATTATTTGAGGTAATGGGAGAAAGAAGGAAAGGAAACTCAGCTGTTGACCATGTACTAAGTGTTAGGCAAGGTCCACATGTCTGATTTCATTTCAAACACAAAACAACCCTTTTCAAAGGTGGTGGAATCCCCACACAACGCATACATCTGTGCTTAGTAGAAGTGGGTGGATAAATGCCCAAGTTGTTTCCTAATTGGAGCAGGAGGGTATCAGAGGAGCTCCTTGAAGGTGTAAAAATTGGGAAATGCTGGGACTGAACAGAGGAGAGAGAAGCCTCAACAGAAGAAAGTGAGAGGCAGGACAAAAGCG